ATCTTGAATTATTGGTTTTGGTTTCATAATCTATGATTCCCGCACTTTAATTACATGTTAACGAAGTAGGCAATATTAGTCAAAAGTTGTATTCAATAGTATGCATGCGTAGTAATGCCTTCATATATAATTTATTTTTATTGTACGATTGTTCTCTACTCATCAATACTTTATCGTCTTTAATAAATTTGTATTCACTATAGTTTTTTCTTTAGTTTTAAGCAAGAAAGATGTCGAACTTGAAACAAAAAGGAGCATCAGGTGTGATGTCAACTAAATTCATTGCACCTCAGGTTTTGAACCGCAACAGGACTTCAATGGCAAAATTCATAAGAAGACATTACTAGATGAAGAAGTCGACTACTCAAAATCATCAACCACATCCAATGCGCGTATAATATCTAGCACCAAAACCCCTAAACCTAAATCAGTAACACCAACGAGCACTACCACTTCCTCAGCATCACTTACAACATCCACATCATCCTGAACAAATAAATCTAAAACTTCAGCAACTAGACCATCGGTAGCATCTTCAACACCTACATCTACAACAAAAACTTCAGCACATACATCATTGAAACCAACCTCAACGCCGACATCAACTACCACATCATCAACACCTATATATACTACCACAACCTCAACACCTTCATCGACACTACCATCCTCAACAACTACAGTAACTAGCACATCCTCCTTACCTAAAGGAACTACCACATCCTCAACATATAAATATATATCCCAACAGCTACCCCATAATCTACCCCATCACGAAGATAACCAACTGTGAATGGATTTGTTATGGAAAATGTAGAAGGTGAAAACAATTCCTCTGATGATTGTGAACCAAAAGGATGTTTAACTATTCATGTTTGGCAAAAAACATGAGTTACCAATCATATATTACAACTTTTTTCTATGTATAACCGTTTGGTGTACACGTATATATTAATTCAAAACTAAAATGATCACATGATTATTTGCAGGCTCATGCCACCAGCCCCTTGTGCACACATTATTTGTCGGTTCTTTTTTCAAGGAGTAGATCCACAAGGGTACACTTGGTGAAAAGTAAGCAAAGAAATGCGCGAATTATATTGAGAGGAGTTTCAGGTAGTTAACTATATGTTATAAATTTTTGTTTGGTAAACATTTACATTTATACTTATGTTTATATTCTTAATGTGTAGAAAAAATGTTGTTGGAGTGAAGCAATAGACTCGCTGGTGAGGCAAGCTTCGGCAAGTAAAGCGGCACAAAGTTATGGCCAATATCTCTACAACATGCGGAGCCAACAAAAAAACACACATGCCTTTAAACCAACTCATATTTCACAAGAAGTCTGGAACTCCTGGCAAGCAAAATGGAATACAAATGAATATAAGCTGAAATCCGAGCAGAACAAGAAAAATTGGCATAAAGGTATGGCTGATGGAATAGCACAACCTACCCATAACGCTGGATCCGCAAATCATTTGAAGATAGCTTCTGATATGGTAATTTTTTTAATGGTACATCAATGCTCATGTTTATGTTATATTTTACATTTTATGGTATTTATGCAGAAGAGAAAATTAGGATGTGATCCACCCCATAGTGAATTGTTCATGTATACACAAAAACAAAGAATCACGATGGAGTCACATTTACAAATGAAAAAGATAGAGAAATTCATTTAATATTCATTTCAGTGCAATTAAACTTTTATATTGTACCTAGTCCTTAATGTCATTCATAACTTTGATATCTTTTAACTTAAATTATCTTTATTTTGTACGCGGCCTATACAGAAAAACGGGAAGAGTTGGAAGTTGAATGTGCTGAATTTGAGGAGGACAAACTATTTTATGATGTTGTTGGTGGTCATGACAAAAAAAGAAGAATTTATGGATTAGATTCTTTTGCAAAGGCGGTTCCCAATACTAATGGTAAAAGGGATGAATCTTACATTCCCGAAAAAAATGACGAAATAGAAGAAATAAGGGAGCTTGTTGCTAAACAAAAAGAGCAAAACGAAGAGCTTAAAAAAATAGTGAAGGCCCAAGAAGAACAATACAACGCAAGAGCCGGGCAACTTGAAAAACAACTTAAAATGAAAATTGATCTTATTAATGTTATTACAGAACAACAACACTAATAGGTCATAAAGTGTTGATATGTTTATTGCAAAATATTTATTTTAGAGTAGCCACTTTCCATTTTCCATGTAATAAATAATTATTGTATTATTTTATGATATAATGTTATTTGATTTTTTTTGTTATTTTTTGTTTTTCATACATTACTACAAAATAATTTGGATTTAATTTATAAATCGATTATCCATCCGTCCATATGGAATCTGTTATATAATATACACCACAAAAATTGCTAGGGATTCATGACCACGGAATTTGCTAGGGAGTGATCACCACGGAAGTTGCTAGCGATTCATCACCACCAAATTTGCTAGTGATCCACAACCACAAAATTTGCTAGAGATTCATAACCATATAATTTGCTAGAGAATCATCACCACGAAATTTGCTAGGGATTCATCACCATATAATTTGCTAGGGAGTCACCACCACAAAATTTGCTAGGGATTCACCACCACGGAATTTGCTAGGGATTCACCACCATAGAATTTGCTAGGGAATCACCACCACGACATTTGCTAGGGATTCATCACCATGGATTTTGCTAGAGATTAACTGCAACAAAATTTTTAATGGAAGAACTACCACAAAATTTGTGATGAAAACCTACTATGGAATACACGACGAATTTAATTATGTTGTCACATTTGCAACGAAATGATTGTTTCCTTAGCAACCCTGGCTACGGGGTTTTTTTGGACGAAAGTCGGTCGTCATAAATTTCGTCACTATTCTTCTTTTGAAACGGTATCTCAACTTTTCGCAACGGATTCATTCCCTAGAAAAATCACGATTCTCTTGTAGTGTTTATTAGAAATAGCCAATATTATCTACTCTTTTAGTCTTAGCTTTGTTTTTTTTTTCTTTAATTTTTTTGATATTTGGTTGTTGTTGGCCTATTATTACTTAGATTTACTGAACATGTTTTTGTAGAAAATATATGTTTGGAAGTGAAAAACCAAAAAAAAAAAAAAAAAACTAAGCAATCTAATGAAACTCAAAGATTATCTATGTATAAGGGTTTTTAAAATAAAATTCTGCTGATGTACAAGAAATTGATGAAACTGTTGTAATCGAGGAAAAAATGTTTTAAATTTCATTATTTTTCTTTGTTATGTATATTTATTACCATGTTCTAGCCTTTTTATTTTGTTATAGTTTGTATGAATAGTTGTTCGGTTGTTTGGCTTACGGGATATCTCTCGAAGCTTATTTCTTTCCATACCAACAATTGTAATATTTTTTTATCTAATTAATAAAATTTTCCATAGAAGTAACCCTCCTTTATTGCAAAAGGGCCCAATTTTTTTTTTTTTGCCTTGGGTATTAAATTGTTTTCGACTCACCCATATATATATATATATATATATATATATATATATATATATATATATATATATATATATATATATATAGGGGTGGCATTCGTTGAGAACTCATAGTTTTCCAAGAACCCGAGAACTAAAGATGGAGCTTTAGATCAAAATTAACTCATTAAAGACTTGATCGTCATCTTACCAATATTATTTAATGTTTGATTTTTTATGTTATTGGAAATATTAATAAAAATGTCTAAAAATTATCATAATAAATCAAAATTTTGGATTTTTTTAAAAACTAATAATTTTGAATTTTTAAAACTACGCTGAATTTAAAAAAAAAATTAGAAAACATGAAGTTTTAAAAAAAATTGAAATTTTCCTTTTTTTTTAAAACAATAAACTTTTAAAAATGAGTAAATTTTATGAAAAAAAATATAGAATATCTAACGAAAAAGCTATAATTTTTTTAACAAAAAAATCAACTTTTAAGTGCATATATGCATATTTTTTGAAGTGCATATATGCATATTTCTTATACTATAGTATTTATAAGTAGATCATAAAAAAAATAATAAAATAATAACAATTTTTATTTATTAATCTATAAACACAATAGTCAAATTATTTTAAAGATACAAAATAAAATATAAAAAACAAAAATTGCTACATATTTTCAAAGCGTTTTCAAGTCTTCATGTCAAGATTTTCATATTTTCTTCAATTTATCACTTTTCACCTATTCAATATTTTCTAAAAAATCTTCTAATCTACAAGAAAATTAAAAATATATATATTTAATGCAATAACATTCACAAAAATACATATGTATATATCATGTAAAATTCACATGTGATTATATAATATGATATTCACATGTTATTGTTTCTTTTAAGATTCATATGTGAATTACATCTGATTTACATGTAAATTACATTTGATTTACATTTGAATCACATGTAATTCATATGTGATTCACTTGTGATTTACATGTGAATGTGATTCATATGTGAATTACATGTGATTTACATGTAATTCATATGTGATTTATATGTGATTTATATGTGATTTACATGTGAATCGCATGTGATTCACATCTGAATTACATGTGATTTACATGTAAATCACATTTAATTCATATGTGATTCACTTGTGATTCATATATGATTCACTTGTGATTCATATGTGATTCCCTTGTTATTTAAATGTGATTCACTTGTGATTACATGTGAATCATATGTGATGTACATGTGAATCACATGTAATTCATATGTAATTCATATGTGATTCACTTGTGATTTACATATGAATGCGATTTATATGTGAATTAGATGTGATTTACATGTGAATCACATGTAATTCATATGTGATTTATATGTGATTTACAAGTGAATCACATGTGATTCATATGTGAATTGCGTGTGATTCACATGTGATTCACATGTGAATCACATACTTTAAACACTACAATCCATATACAGTACATTCTAATTTAATTACGGAAAAAACTTTATCTTTTTTTTTCGGGACCCGCACTCTGTCAAATTCTCTTATCTGTTAAAAACTACAAAAAAATGATTTTAATGAAAAAAACAAACCATGATCCATCTTGCATTTGTATTTTCTCTAAGTATCCACTTGTATATGTGAGGAAACCTTCTATTTCTTTTCTTCTATGTTGAAGATATAACTTTATAAAAAGTGTCACTCTTTCCATGGAGCCATTTTCCACAAAATCACGTTTAAAAAACTGTGTAGTCTCCATGTTCACTCCCATAGCTGCAAAAATAATGGCAAAGTTGTCCTCTTCTCCACCCGACTGAAAATCAAAAATTCTCAGTCTTTTGTGTATTTAATACTGCTAAAATCACAAAAATTTCAATTTGGAGTAAAAACAAGAATCAAGAGATATAACAACGTATTTTCTTTTCACATATAATAGCAACATACTTACATTTTGCTATTACAGGTAAAGAAATGTATGTAGATTGCTACTATGGGTAAAAAAGGCAAGTAGATTGTCGACATTGATTAAAAAAAGTTAAAGTACATTGCTATTTCTTGCAATAATACCTCAAGCAAGTTTTCAATTTTTTCCAATCGCTTGACTAAACCAGCTTGACGACAGATTTGAGCAGCAATCTCATTGTGAGGAAGACCAACAGCAGAAAACAAAGGAATCTTTTGTCCTCTAGCAATTGAATTCATCACATCAATTGTGGAGATACCAGTCTGGATCATTTCTTCTGGATATGTTCTCTTACTAGGATTGATAGAACTTCCTGAAATAATAATAACTACTTGCTAATAATAATGCAAATCCAACAACAACTAATCTTCTAAACCTCAGTTATGTTGGATAATTTATGGACTAAAATATCGACAATCATCTAATTAGATTTAAACATCTTGATTTGCAAATCAGCAAGCAAAGCAGCAGCCAATTGATTATCATGGTCTGAACAATAGTTTTTTATATCTGCCCGGGGCTTTATAAAAACTTGAAAATCATCACTGTACCCAAGTAGTTATCAACCTAAAAATGAAAGCAATTTAATTATCCACCAAAGTTAAAATCAAAAGATTAGAAACAAGATTACCATATAAATAGTCGAGCCATTTTTGATTTTATTTATTACCTGTTTGAATAGACACCAATAAAAAAAGTCACTTACATCAGATTTAAGCATTGACTGGAGTATATCAGCAACATCATGAATTTGATACATCAGTATCGCTTTCACTATCAACTTATCACCAGAATTACGTAGATGAATAGTATCAAAAGTATCTCCATGATAAACGTCATTGTCGTCATCGCCCACTGGTTCAGGAAGAGAAAGAACATCGATCAGGAACTCCATGAATCATAAGCCAATCACTGTAATACATGTTCAGAAATGTGATCGGATGTTCATTCACCTTCGGCTTTCTTTAAAAATTAATCTAAATTCCTAAAAATTACTAAAAAAGCATAAATGATCCCACTCTTTAATCTACAACAAAAAATTTACAATTCATATAATCATTCATAGAAACGCATTTTTAAATCACAAATCAACAATCGACATGATATGAAAAAGTCAACAGGAAACCGTTTGAAAGCAACAAAGTTGTAATTCAACAATCAACAATCAACATGATATGTTAAAATCAACAGGAAACCAATTGAAAGCAACAGAAAATCGATTTGAGAAGTTATCAGAGACTAAAAATTTCGATTAAAAGTGTCGGAAATCGATTTGATTGTAACGTACATGGTTCGTTGTGAACGAAGACAAACTTCCAGATCGTGCATGCGATTTCAATCCCAAGTGTTTTGACAATCTATGAAGTGGTGTTTGTAGACAACGATTGTAGGGGAAATTGGTGGTGATTATGGCGTAAATCGGTACTGACTGAGTTTAACAATCGATCCATAGTGAGTGCGTCCAATTCGATCCTCAGTGTGGTGTTGAAAGTGGTCGAAATCGACATCAGAGACATTCGTCGGACGAAGGCGACGACTGGAGAGGGGAGGCGTGAAGAAGATGAGACAATAGAGAGAAAGAGAGAAAGAAGACGTAAGAGAAGAAAGAGAGAGGTTCAATTAAAATTAATTATAATTAGTTAATAAATTGAAATGATATGTTTTATGTCTATTATGCCCTTGTGATCTTTTTCAAAAAGTCTAACATACCATTAAGATTAACGATAATTACAATCATACCATCATCAATCTAATCCGTCCAAAAAATTGATCCGGCGTTCCACTTTTAGTTTTTGAGTTTTCGGGAAACTTTGAGTTCTCTCTCTCTCTCTCTCTCTCTCTCTCTCTATATATATATATATATATATATATATATATATATATATATATATATATATATATATATATATATAAAGCTCAAAAAAGCACGTAAATACTTCTTTAAATAGTGTTCAAATTTAAACTTAAATTTATAGAAAACTTAGTGAAATATATAGCATGTAAAAACTTAGCATATCTGCCAAATTCTTACAATAACTACACAAAACAAGTTTTAATATCTATTACAAGCGCATGACACAAATTTAAGAAGGAGAGCTTCATCGAGGAGCCGTTATTCCAAAACAATATGTAATTATTGAGCTACTTCTTGAAATGCAAAAGAGCAGGAGTCTTATCAAGTCCTTTTGAATAGAAATAATCCATAAAATCTTTTGCTGTCGTACTTCTATACTTGGCTGGCTCATCTTCCGAAAGCAACTCCTTGATAGGTTCCAACACCCTCAATGTCTTAGGGTTCAGGTTAGCCAAAAAAAATGATGCCACTGATATTCGCGGACCAACCTTGTTTGCCATCACTTTGTGGCGTGCACTCACAAACTTGTCGTTTGTAACTAGCTGAAAACAAATTCCATTTTGATTGCTATGTATTAGTCCACTATACTTTGAGTTTTATGGTCATGCAAACAATATTAAAGAAGCTTGTGTATCTATGAGAGAGAGAGAGAGAGAGAGAGAGAGAGAGAGAGAGAGAGAGAGAGAGAGAGAGAGAGAGAGAGAGAGAGAGAGAGAGAGAGAGAGAGAGAGAGAGAGAGATGCCTGTAATAGATCTCCAGCGTTCACTACAAGAGCTCCTGGTATAGGAGTAACATGGGTCCATTGGTTCTGATAAAAGACCTTTAGGCCACCAATAAGATCTTGTTGAAGAATCGTAATGAAACCCGCATCACTGTGTTCAGTGGTGCCCATTGTTAACTCAGGTTGTGGGCAAGGAGGATAGTAATGGCCGGTAACTTGAATCTCTTCAGCACATCCCATGTCGAAAAAGTGATTGGGGGCGAGCCCTAGAGACTCAGACATCAACTCCAATATAGAGCATCCGAGTTTCATTACTTGACTCGAGTACTCCAACAAAATATCTCTGCGAGGATATCCCAATTAAACAAAATATCGGATAGTTATATTCTACGTACATTCGGATTCTATTATTTTAATGTCAATGGATATCATAGAACTTACTCATGTGAACACATATTTATTCATATTGCATGTGATCAATGACGTGTTAATTATTTTATAATACAAATAGAATTAGAATTATGAAAACCTGCAAGGTGGTGGCAACTCTTCTGGTTGAGGAGGATTAGGATACATGGTGCACAAGAAAGAGTCTCGCCAGTTGGTCACCGGTGCAGAGTACAAGTCAAAGTTGCTGTTATACACCACCCTATTCGCAGAGCGATCCCTTGTGTACCACTGCTTCCTCACCTCACTATCCTGATCAAAAAAACGTAAAACTCCTTTTCTCATCTCCTCCAAAATGTCAACCGGAATTCCATGATTCACCATCTGGAAGAACCCCCAACTCCCCAACGCATCCTTCACTTCTTCCATCGCCTGCTTTCTCCGAATAGGATCTTCGTTGATTCCTTTGAGGTCGATGGTTGGAAGAGTAAGCTCTTGGTCAGAGTTTAGGTTTTCAGGTGAAGGTAGGAGGAATATCCGAGGGACCTCCGTAACTCCGGCATCTACAAGTCCTTTCACGCCGGTTTTGGTTTCGTCGAACTCTGTGAGCTCAGCTTTCCTGTCATAACTCAAAACGCCCATCTTGTATTTTCTTATTGAGAAGCTACGTACAATCTTGCAACAGGTGCAGGTAGGTAGGTTATTAATGTTGATGGTAATTATGAGGGACGTTGCATTGTATATATATATATGCCGTTGTGGAAGACACTTTGTGCATTAACATACCTACTTCCTAAAAGTATATTTCAGAACTGTTTAAATAAATAGTTTGTCCCAAAATTGTTATAAATGTGCAACATTCTTAAAAAACAAAAATTATTTTCCACAAGCTAATTATTTTTCTATTGAAAATTATCTTTGAATATAAAATTATGTATAAAGGCGAAAGTACTTCTGTGTTCGAAAAATAAAAGTCCGATGCGGTTATTATTTCAAAATTAAAAGGATTGCTTGAAGCACTCATAGAACAAAACACATGTTGCTTCCAATAATTTAAAAGAAAGCACTACATATATCTCAAAACACGCTAGAAAATTACTACAAAATATATAGATCGATAATATTTTGTCACAAAAATACATTTATCTAAAAAGTACGTATGTTCATCTAATATAAAAAATTACATGAAAACTAGCTTCATTCTTCTAAGCCAACCGATGATGGCAACCATCATACTATCTCAGACTCATAAGATAATCATTTACACTAAACCTTCAAATATATTGTGAAAGCAGTGTAAACAATAAATTATCTCCAATCCATTAAACTATATATAACATAAACAACAATTCTTTTAATTATAATTATATCTGTTTTTTATAATTTTACAAAATAATCCTTATATTTGTTAAGTTTTTAAATATGTGAAGCATATCTTTTTATTACAATAGCTTAACGATTTATATTAATTATTTATAACCAACAAATATTAGAATTATATAATTATACATATTGTATTTTAAACTAATAAATCTAATAACAATCATAACATTACTACATAAATATTATAAATACACAAAAAAATATAGTAAAAATGAATAAACTCACATTTGATGGACCAATTTATACTAGGAAACATCAACACAATATTTATTGTTATTGAATATAGTATAACATTATAGTATTCACCAAATCTATATTTAGTGTTAGGTTTAGTGTTGTAATAGCGCAATTTAGTGTAAAAAATAAGTTTTAGTGTGGAATGAGCATTGTCCTTGATGCGAAACAAAAATACACTAAAAAAAAGGAGGTTTTATCTTCGTTTATTTCGATTTTCGTTTATTAACAAGCACATGGACATAATTTATAATTATTTCACTTAATTAACTCAAATTTGGTATGACTCTTGTGTAATTGCATTAACTATCTTACACACACTATGGGTTATTGGACATAGTTAGGAAATTCATAAAAATAATCGTCTTATACTTGATTTAAAAGAATGATATAAAACAAAATATTGAAAAATAAATAATACGAATGAAAAACATAATCCAAATAAATGTTTACAAATCTATATCGTTCAAAAATTCAAAACACGTAATAAAATATAATCCTACTTCCTAGTTGTGATCACGAGGGTTCAAGTTGAACGTGTTGATAATGAATAAATAAATCTAGAAGAAATCTTGATCAATGATTGTACAAGATGAACTTCATGATAAAAATCACCATGTATTACTTCTAAAGTATCAAAGGGCTTTTGGCCTAGCGGTAATGAGTGACTCTCTCAAATGAGAGGTCATGGGTTCAAGTCTCATTAGGAGACATAGGTGGTATTTAGGAGTAGGTTAGTTTGCCGGTTAAAAAAAATTACTTCTAAGGTTGTAATGAAATCGTCATAATGACTCTATGGAAGAGTGTGAAGAAAAAATGAATTTTTGTAGCTCTGATTTTTAGGGTAGAATGCTATAACTTTCCTGCATGAATTGTAGTTTTTATTGGAGAAAAAAAAAGGTTATAAGAGTTTGAATCGTTAGAAGAAAAAAATATGGTTGCGGAAATTAAGGGATCACTTAATGGTGTGCCAACCTTATCTTCTAAAATTAAGCCAAAATTAAGGAATTATATAGCTCATTTATAGTTTTTCATTTTTCCTGTAATAGCCAACAAATGGCTCTTTTTCTGTGTAATTATTTATTCAATTCAATACAAATAATTCTTCTTGAGCCATTCATAACATGGTATCAGAGTAATGTTCTTAGTTTTAGGACCAAACTGTTCGGTATTTACTAGTGTTGTATAAATCGGTCTAGGCGGCCGATTAATCGGGGCCTAGGCGCTTGACTGCCTCCAACCGCATACGAATAGGTGTCAGAGGGTTAAATAATCGGCCCTGGTCAATATCGGTCAAAACCGGTCCAATTCGGT